TTTTATTAGAAAACTGGCTTCTTCAAATGAGAGAGATGCATGAAAGTGTTCACTGTGTTAAACCTGCTCATTGAATAGACTGGGGGAAGAGTAATACAGTTACCTGGAAAAAAAATTAGAGGTAATTAGAACACTGTTTTTTATACAATATTGAAAAAATCAAAACAATAAAAATTTTGTTGTTTTTAAACTGATATCACCACCCAGCACTTAGACTACCCCTAAATAGCACCTACAGTTAAAGGTTATAGCACAAGCAAACTGCTAGTTCAGCAGGTAAGCAAGTTAAACAGTGCCAACACAGTTCTGCCCCCCCTCCCCAAAGTCATGAGAAAACAGCGTGCTAGATAAGAGTTAAAGTACACCATTACATGTTAAATAGTTAATACTACCCTTCCAACAAGCCACAAATGCTAGATAGAGAACTTCAGCACAGTAACTAACCACAGTCCTACATCACTGCTTTTTAAAAGAAAGAAAAAAAAGAAAAGAAAAACCTTTTAGCTTCATGCCCGTAATTAACATAAAATAAGTAAACCCTTTGTATGTTATTTTTATTAAGGAAAATCATGCTAAAGCAAAATTGTACTTCATATAGCTTTTTCCAAAACAAAAAAACAAAGAGGAAAAAGAAACTGATTGTGCTTTATGGATTAAAAAAGGATTGTATCTTTCAACCCCATTAACTCAAAACTTGGTGGCATTCCTAAAAGAAAAACATTTGTGGGACAATGAAAAAAAAAGTGTTTACTCAATCCAGTCTGTCATTCAAAATTCTCTGTTCAAGAGTCACTCAGCGTGGGTTGAATTCCACATACTGTCTTGAAGGTTTCATCAAAAAAATATTAAAGTATCTGTCTGTCTATCCAAACCCCTCAGAAAACCCTAAGAATACAGCAAGTAACATTCAGATTTAAAATCCATATTAGTTAGGATTTCAAATGCACAATTATCCAAATTCAAGTATCACTGGCAACCCAGGTAGGCGTTTACTGTATTAGGTTCTCTTACCATTAAATAAAAATAATAAACTTAATATGTTGAAATACACCAGAAGAAATCAATTTTTTCATTCAGAATTCTTGAAAATATTTTTCGCTTGTTTCCCCAATTTATGGTTTATTTTTATTAATCTCAAATATTCTTAGAGCATTTTTCTTTGTTAAACTTTAGTTTGGTCTGTTGTACACACAAGCAGATGGCTACCAAGCTGCTGCAGAAGGGAAAACAGAAAAACAAAAATGGGAAAGAGAATGTGCCAACGGATTCATGGACTATGGCCAATGGGCCAATCTTCATGGGTCTGAAGCTCTCAGCAAGGCTAGTCCATCTGGTCAGAGAACCCTCTTTTAGGAGATGGAGACAGTTTGCAAGGTGTTTGATCATACTTCAAGCAAGAAGGAAAGCTTGAAGCTATTACAGGGTAGCAGTTTCAAAACTATGACAAAGAGTTTGCCTTTGTATGTGCTCCAGGTAAATTAAAGCACTGTTCATATAGCATTGTGTTTTTCCCCCCGAAAAAAGGGAACAGCTCATAATCCAGACCAAGAAAATGAGTAAAGTCCAGATGAAGGCTTTCCAAAGTCCCAAAAGCAAATAGATGAGTGGTTGTAGGTCCCTACAGTTCAGAGGGTGGGCAGAAGTCCAATATAAAAGTGTACTTAAAATCCAAGTCATTTTTTTTAAGCTTCGATGCTCTGAATAACTCCGTGCACTTTTTAAATGCAACTCCACATAAACTATGATAGCGAGTTTGACCTGAAGGAGCACTTTTTATTTCAATGTCTGATCTAAAAATGTTCTTACATTATCCCCTAGACTTTTTACTTTGAGAAAGCTCTGTTCCATCTTATCATCCAAGGTGGTAGCTGTGGAACCACTGATAAAAAGGAAATCTCTAAGTCCCTACCTATCGGAGCAGCTGTTTGAGTTGACAGTTCAGTAGCACACAAGTTGACTTGGCCAAATGGAATTATGAATGCATGCATTCGGGCTGCATATTGCTACCAAAATGGAATGTGGGAATATGCTATATACCTTGGGTTTGAGAAATGACCAAGAAATCAAGATCTAAAGGGTGATATATATATCAATGCTATTATTCATAAAAACCTTGTTTAGTAATAAAAAAAATTGCTTTGTTTAAATATGAATATTATAGTCTGCTTCTCATGGTTAGGAAATAATAGTCTCTCTGAAAAGCAGGTTGCTTCTTCTACTACAATTCCATATCCTGGGCCTCATCTTCCGAGAAGTCAGACATGGAGCTCTCTGATGAGCTGTCCCCGGTACCTTCTTCCTGTTCTTTTAGTGCTTCTTCTGTTGCATATTTCTGAATGTATTCTGTATGTGAGGAAAGAAAAGGGTATAATCAGCATATGTTCAACTCCCACAGCCATTTATAAAAATGGGTTGGTACTGAGCATGGCTGAATAAAAAATTAATGTAACAGACGGTGGGATAGTGCCACATATGGACAATAAAACATAATGATTATATAAATTAACATAGGGATTGCCATATCGGTTTAGACCAAAGGTCAATCTCGTCTGACCACAGCCATATTAGAGGCATCAAAGGGAGGTTTGAGACCCTGGGATAATGCATGAAGTCCTGAGGCATACATGTTGATAAACACACACATTGTTAGGATACTGAACACTAGACTTGGAGTTAGAAACAGCCAGTGCCCTTTACTTCTGCACATACACCGGTTTAAAAGCCTCATGTTCAAAATTCACGGTCATAGTGAATCCAGGTCTCCTGGAAAAGAAGAAAAATCTGGGATATTCTACAAGGGCGATACTTGGTCATCGGGCAGGAAGGCTGAGAGCTACTGTACTGGTCTGTCCTGCTGCCCTATAATACAGTATCTTGAATACTTCGTTTTCATATTATGTATCAGCAATCGCTGTTAGTACCACAGCGTGGCTGTGCCATTGTGAACGGGAGGCAATGCAGTGCGCGCAGTACCAAGGGGAAGGAGAATCGGAGACCCTCTCAAGATACAACCCACAGTATGGAAAAGTTTTGAACGCTGCTTTATGGAATTAGAGACTGATGATACTGGCATAACTTCCAGAGAAGGAAAGAGACGAGAGGAGATGAAGAAGGTTGGAGAAAAAGCTGGAATACAGATTTACTGCTTTTAACCTAATGCAAACCTGTGTTCCCTAGAATAAAACCACAACAACCCACCTCTCTATCCCCCAAGAGACAGGCCTTGCACTATGCTTTAGTATCAGACAAGGGCAGTCATAGTAGCAGAGAAAAAATTCTAGAGGGTGCTCCCCAGGAACTCCCAGCTATCAATTTCCAGACATTTAATTCTAGGAGCTCTAAACACAAGCACCCCAGCCAATCTCAGCTACTGCAGTGGTTCCTATAAAGAGATGAGGTTTCAAAGCCAAGACCCAAACCATGCAGGGCTCTAGCGAGATCAACACCTTGAATTACAACCAAAAGCAATTAAGGAGCCAGCACAGGTCACAGAACTGGTTTAATAGGATTCTGGAAGGCAAATGCATTTTGTGCAAGCTGTGGCGTGTGCGATTTTCTAGTGTCGCTCCATGCAGAATGCACAGTAGTAATCCAGTTTAGGAGCAGGATTATTGAGACTATGTCCAGAGTTGAGGGTCACAATCATCTTACTACATGTGCCTACGGAGGAGGCTCTTGGCTGACACTACCTGACCTTCCAAGAGCAGCCATATCCCGAATTTGCAAACCTCCTGAAAAAGGGTGTACATGCGGGGATCATTCCTCCAACCCAGTATCTTTGGGTAGATCTTCACTGCACAGAAAAACCTGTGGCACTGAGTCTCAGGCAGCAGGGCTAAAAATAGCAGCGTAGATGTTCCCGCTTGGGCTGGAGCCTGAGATAAGGGGGTAGGGTCCTGGAACCCAGCCTCCCACCTGAGCATGACTGCCTACACGGCTATTTTTAGCCCTGCAGCCTGACCCCACAAGCCCGAGTCAATTGACCCATGCTCCAAGACCTGGTGCTGTGGGTTTTTCTTTGCAGTATTAACAGACTGTATGTCTTGTCTGGATTGAACTTCAGCCAGCTTGCTCTCAAATCCTGTTCTCAACTAGGCGCTGGGAAAACATGCCACACCATTTAGGTGAACAGGTCATGTAAACTGAGCTATCAGAGTCTGGTACATCCCTCTAGCTTGGGACCGGGGTACATGAGCAGGGTGAGGTGAGCATTTCTTACGCTGTACCTGCTCCGTGCTTAGATTTCAGTTGCTAATCTGGCAGTTTTCACAGGATGGACATGAGCAGAAGGCAAGATGCCTTGTTTCTAAAGCCCCAAACCAGATTTTTTTTAAAGCAGCAGCCATTCCTTTATGCTTAATGATGTCTAGCTCCCACAATACGAGGTGTCAATGAATTCCAATTCGTATCACGAAATCCCAGCCTAAAGGACTTGGAAGTGTTGCTCTTTTCCTTAACTCAGGGTAAGTCTACACTTTTACCGCCGGAGGTAAGCAATCGATCTTCTGGGATCGATTTATCGCGTCTTGTCTAGATGCGATAAATCGATCCTGGATCAATCCCGGAAGTGCTCGCCGTCGATGCCGGTACTCCAGCTCGGCGAGAGGAGTACGCAGCATCGACGGGGGGGCCTGCCTGCCACGTCTGGACCCACGGTAAGTTCGAACTAAGGTACTTCGAATTCAGCTACGTTATTCACGTAGCTGAATTTGCGTACCTTAGTTCAAAGTCGCGGGTTAGTGTGGACCAGGCCTCACAGTTTCATGGTGCAGAAAGGAGGGAGGATCAGTCTTGCACACTGTATTTTCCCTTCCACTGGCCTAAAACACTGCTAATTGGCCATCCTTTGTTTCATGTCATGCCAAGCGACAGATGTGCTTATGAAACTGTGGGAGGTCACTTGTAATGCGAGATGCCAGACATACATGACCATAGAAACTTGCATTTGAAAAGCTAGTTTTGTTTAAGTAACATCAATAATCTACTTGCATCTTTCAGTTCAGTAGAAGAGAATGTTAAGCTGGATGTTAAATCTTTGGCAACATCTTTCTTCCCACTGCCTCCAAATTTCTGCGGTGCTTATTTCTAGCATGACGTACAGCTACCCACAGTACATCCGAATCTTCAAATAGTTAATTGTCTATACAGGCACCAGCTGGCTAAGTTGCAAGAAGCCAAGGTTTCTGGAATTGAGGCTATGGAATTAGGCCACTAGATGCTTTAATACCTGCTACAAGAATAGACTCTGAAGTGCTGTTGAACTACAGGGACCCTCTGCATTTAAAGTACTTGAGCCAAATGGCTAAAAGGGGCTTTCAAACTCCTATGGAGGCACATGCTGATTTCTAATGACAAGCAGCTTCTCTCTAATGGTTTAATTTGCAACGTTCACCTGTGAGAGGTGGCTGAAGTTTGTGTCATGAGAACTTGCACAAACAGCTCAATAACGATCGCTCTGTAAACACTAGGAAGTGTAGAACATTTGCAGTGATGCTGCATGCAGCGTGAAGACATTCAGACGGTCAGGCTCCCTACCCTTCTGGAAACCATAGCATGAATACAATAATGTGATAAAGGAAAGTGCCCTGGTCCTGTGCAACTGGATCTTGTATACTAACAAAAAATGATCTGCTCAAAGGCAGCATTTAACTTATTGGGTGCCCGTTTTGGGGTCTGTCTTGCTTAGCAATTGAACTTCCAATAAAAAAAATATTGGCCCAGATAAACCTCACACACACACCTTTCACACCCCAGCAACAGGATCCCACCCTTCCTTTTCTCCAGAAATTTCAGATCACACCCAACACCTCAGATAGTCTTGTGAACACCTCTTCCCATTCGCAACCTCACAATATCCCTGAGTTCACTACCACTCCTGCTTATGTGGGAGACTAATACTAGGAAAGCAGCTAGCTGTCATCCTGACATTTAGCAGGTAAAAACGAGGACAGGAGCCATGTGACCACCCGCCACTTCACTAACTCTCAGAAAGTGCTCCAAAGACCCAAGGCCCACAGCTTATAAAGCACAGAGACAACTTTAGCTTAAATAGATACTTATCACCCATCAACACATCTAAACCCTTGACACTTGTTTGCTAGGCCAGACTAGAAAACGGGGGAGAGGCTGCCTAGCCATCAGCAGGATGGCCATTCATTTTAACCTCTGGAAATTCCTGACTTCCAGGGAACTTTCATGTCTAAACAATTAACCCTCTTTTTGGGTTAAACTCATGTTACACTGGAGGATCTAGACAGGTTTCAGAGTAGAAGCCGTGTTAGTCTGTATCCGCAAAAAGAAAAGGAATACTTGTGGCACCTTAGAGACTAAAAAATTTATTAGAGCATAAGCTTTCGTGGACTACAGCCCACTTCTTCGGATTCGGATTCCTGTTCTTTTTACTGGAGGATCTAGTCATTTTTCAATCCATTAAGGAAAGATGACACAGAAGTGTACATTCTGCTGGCCCTGTAGATACCACAGGAAGTATATTTTCAAGTGTCTAGCATAAAGGTTTGAAATCAAGATTTCATAGCAAGAAAGAACCAACATTGCTTCAAATATTTTAGCCCCAAAGGAATGCAAAACAGCTCTATCTATACCCCATTCACAGCTCTATCAGTATTTAACCATTTACTAAAATTATGCACCAATAAAGTGCTAGCCCTTAATTTTTTTTTTTTTTTTTGTTTTTTTAGGTTCACAAATGGGAGTTAAGCACTCAAATCCCACTGACCTTCAATAGAAGTTGATTGCTTAACTGGCTCTTTGAGCCTTTGGAAAAAAAATATCCTCCCCTCCCCCCAATTTCCTCTCTTCTAGGATGGAAAGACTAAAAAGGTTCTCTTACCTCTATGGCCATTAACCAGTTTTATATCTGAAGAGTGAAAAGCTGTACTAGTGTTAAACAAAAATCTTTCCAGCTATGTACACAATAGTCGCACCAATAGGTTCCATTATGACTCTTTATTTAAGGGTTTTGCTCTTCATAAGGATTGTGGCAGGCTGAGAACTTTGTACCAGGTGTCAGTCCTAGGAGCAATCGCCAACACACACATCAAGCAGATATTTTATGCTTTCATAACTAAAAAATGAGGAGGTAAAGGGAAGAGGAGATAAATTATGTATTCACAGCACTTAATTTTCCAGAGCAAAGAAGTTGCTAGAATCCATTGCATCAATTCCAGCATGTCCAAGACTTTTTTTTAAATATTACCGTTACAAAGAGGGATTTCACAGAATGGCAGTGTTCAGTTCTATCTTATGGTGGTCATGCAAAACTGGTAAGAAGCCAGAGTATTCAAAGTGGACGCATGACTCTTATGCATACGCTATGTAAGATGAATTGATTACAAAGTTTGGAAGGCATAGTAAATCACAGAATGTAGGACTGGAAGGGACCTCCATAGGTCATCTAGTCCAGTCCGCTGCACTGAGGCAGGACTAAGTATTATCTACACCACCCCTGAAAGGTATTTGTCTAACCTGTTCTTAAAAACCTCCATTGATGGAGATTCCACAACCTTCCTAAGTAATTTTTCCCAGTGCTCAACTACCCTTACAGTGAGGAAATTTTTCCTAATGTCGAACCTAAATCTCCCTTGCTGCAATTTAAGTCCATTTCTTCTTGTTCTGTCCTCAGTGGTTAAACTTAAACAATTTATCACCCTCCTTTTTATAACCTTTTACATACTTGAAGACTGTTATGTTCCCCTTCAGTCTTCTCCTCTACAGATGAAACAAACCCCTTGCCTCTCCCCCCCAATCTTTCCTTGTAGACCTTTAAACGTTTTTCAGAGTGGTAGCAGTGTTAGTCTGTATCAGCAAAATACTCTTCTCTGGACTTTCTCCAATTTGTGCACATCTGTCTCAAAGTGAGGTGCACAGAACAGGACACAATAGTCCCACTGAGGCCTTATCAGAGCTGAGTAGAATAGAGGAATTACTTATGTTTTGCTTACAACTCTCCTGCTAATACACCCCAGAATGAGGTTTCCCTTTTTGTGACAGTATTATCTTCTTGACTTATATTTAGTTTGTTATCCACTATAACCCCGAGATCCTTTTCTGCAGTACTCCTTCCTAGGCAGTCATTTCCCATTTTGTATTTGTGAAATTGATTATTTCTTCCCAAATGGAGTACTTTGCATTTGTCCTTATTGAATTCATCCTATTTATTTCAGACCGTATCTCCAGTTTGTCAAGATCATTTTGAATTCTAATCCTGTCCTCCAAAATTCTTGCTATCTCTCACACCTTGGTACCGTCTGCAAACTTTATAAGTATGTCATTATCCAAATCACGTATGAAGATATTGAATAGAACTGGACCCAGGACAGATCCCTGCAGGACCCCACTCGATATGCCCTTCCAGCTTGATTGTGAGCCGCTGATAACTACTCTTTGAGTATGGTTTTCCAACCAGTTGTAGACCCATCTTGGTTCATCTCTAGTTTCTTCCTGAGAAGGTCATGTGGGACAGTATCAAAAGCCTTGCTAAAGTTGAGATATATCACATCTATTATTTTCACCCTGTCCACAAGGCTTGTTATTATCTCAAAGAAGGAGATTAGGTTTGACTGGTTTGGCACAATTTGTTCTTGACATCTGTCACCTTATTTTTTTTAGGTGCTTACAAATTGATTGATTGATTATTTACTCCATTATCTTTCCAGGTATTGAAATTAAGTTGACTGGTTTATAATTCCCTATATAATTTATAATAATAATTATATATTATTATATAATTATATAATAATATAATTCCTTATTCCACTTTTTATAGACAGGTACTCTATTTGCCCTTTTCCAGTCCTCTGCGATCTCTTCAGACAGTTCCTTAAGTATTCTAGGATGTATTTCATCAGGCCCTGCCAATTTGAGGACATCTATCTTGTCTAAGTAATTCTTAACTTGTTCTTTTCCTATTTTAACCTCAGATACTACCCCATTTATACTGATGTTCACTATGTTAGTTGTCCAATCATTGCTAATTTTTTTGGTGAAAACAAAAAAAAAGTCATTTATTTCAGCCGTTGCTAAATTTGCTCTCGTTTCCTCCTCGTTGAGTAATAGGTCTTCCCTGTCTGTGTGCTTCATGGTTTATGCCAATCTCTAACTATTAGAGACCCGGATGAGACCTATATGGGGTCAGATTATCCAACATCTTTCTATTGAAGGGTTCCTATACCTCCTCTGAGGTATCTGGCACTGATCCAGCATGACAATTCCTACATTATTTTAAGGGACGCCAGACAGGTACATGTAGGCACATGTGTGCGCAAACACATAGAAAATGGGGTGAGCTAATGGCATGACTGGTGCACAACTTTGAATAGTTGTATTTTTTGTTGACTTTTAAATAAAATACCCCAGGGAAAAAACAGCCGGAAAAATCTGTGCTACTTTAGCTACAAAAATATTACTAACTTCTCCAAACGTCTGAAGTTTGCTTTTAAAGTTGGGGACCTTAGGAAACCGCCTTTAACTTAGTTCCTTTCTGTTTCTAACTTATAATAGTTTGCCAAGACATTCCCCACATCCAAGCTAAGCAGAACCATTCCCAACACTGTATTCTACAGACCAGCTTTAAATTTAAAATGATGGTGGTTCATCCACTCTTCCCAGAAGACTATCCTGCTCTAAAATTAAATACATCTATTTTAGAGCAATAGTGGTCATCAGACAAAAGGTATTTAAGATGTACAGTGAAGAGAACACGTTTCTCCCAAACAGCAACAGATCAAAGTGATACCATTAATTTTTCAACATTCCATTGACTCCCTTACCTTTAATTTTCTGTTTGTATTCTTCCGGTCGGTGGAGATACATGGCTGCAGCGTCACCATTTAGAGGATCTATGGGGTTAGGATAGGCCAGCAACTGGGGCAGGAACGACTCAAATATATTGGTAAGATCTGCAAGATAAATTAACACAAAATCACATTGCACATCCACATCTCAGACCCACAGACAACCAAGTTAAACATCAGTAAAACTGTGTATTGCTGTAGTCAGATATTAAGATGGTGTAAAGCTTACGGAAGCTTAAATTAATATACGTTTTCCTGTCCTAGACTGCTCATATAATTGAGAATGTGTGATAATAGAGCTTCCACTACTTTATGCCCAAAGTATTTTACACTTCGATAGCATCTTTGATCTGAAGATCTCAAAGCACTTTACAAACACAAATAACTTCTTCAGCATCCCTATGGAGATTTGTGAAACGCTGTTACTTAAGGAAATGGAGGCAGAGGTTAAATGATATACCCAAGTCATACAGCAAGTATAGCAGGAATTAGACCCAGACCATTCTTTTATGCTTTAAACTTTGGACACTTTTCCCTCCCAATTGCCTCACACCAAAATTCCCCATGCTTCCTCTCACATTACTGTCTTTAAATAAGTCGGTTCCTAGACTTAAAATTGACATCTCAGCATAATACAATTTCTACAGAGCTTCGACACTTGTGATAATAAAAAGAGCAACCCAACAAGTTCATTCTCCCATTTCAAAACAATTAACAGCATGCGAAGAGATTCACATTAATGCCTTACTGCCAGTTGGCATTTACCACTAATAATCCATGACAGGGAAACATGTTTCTGGTGCTGATGAGTAAGTGTGAACACACGAAACCATGCTCCACACCCCACCTCCAAAAGAGACATATGCACCATACTTCAAAGATGCGGGTGTGAAGCAACGGACTGTGCTATTCTTTCTTGGATGTTTCAGGCAGGTACCAGAAGGGCTGTATTCTCCCACACACATGGAAGAGTAAGCCCTCAGTGTGGGGTTAGGAGGGTGATTTTGCAAAGTTTAACTTCAGCAGTTAAAGACTAGCAGGTGCATGTAGAATTTAAAAAAAAATAAAAAGCAGGTTCACCCTTTCAATCTTTTTATTTTATTAGCA